TGCAGGTGCCCCTTCAGATCACTACATTTGTATCTTTGGGGTAAATACCTTGTAGTGCAATTGCTGGGTTATAGGGTAGCTCTATTTTTAACTTCTTGAGGAACCTCCATGCTGTTTTCCAGAGTGACTACACCAGCTTACATTCCCATCAACAGTGTAGGAGGGTTCTCCTTTCACCACATCCTCACCAACATTTGTTGTTTCTGGTCTGTTAATTTTAGCCATTCTGACTGGCATGAGGTGGTATCTCATGGTGGTTTTGATTTGTATTTCTCTGATGCCGAGTGATGTGGAGCATTTTTTCATGTGTCTGTTAGCCATTTGGATATCTTCTTTGGAGAAATGTCTGTACATGTCTTCTGCCTATTTCTTGACTGGATTATTTGTTTTTTGGGTGTTGAGTTTGATAAGTTCTTTATAGATCTCGGATACTAGCCTTTTATCTGATAAGACATTTGCAAATATCTTCTGTCATTCTGTCCATTGCCTTTTGGTTTTGTTGACAGTTTCCTTTGTTGTGCAAAAGCTTTTTATCTTGATAAAGTCCCAATAGTTCATTTTTGCCCTTGCTTCCCTTGCCTTTGGAGACATGTCTAGCAAGAAGTTGCTGCAGCTGAGGTCAAAGAGGTTGCTGCCTGTGTTCTCCTCTAGGATTTTGATAGATTCCTGTTTCACATTTAGGTCTTTCATCCATTTTGAGTTTATCTTTGAGCATTACACATAGCTTTAAAATTAAATATTTGTATGCATTCTAATCCTCTAAAAGCTCCTATTCCGAAAATGATATGATAGCTCTCTTAACCAAAATACCTATTCAAATGGTAATCCCCAATTTTGACATACCAGATAACAAAAATTATTGCCATTTTATCAAGCCCAAGTTGTTAAGGTTGAGATAGTGGGTATTGACTAGGTTATCTGTTTTTGTGTTTGACAAAGGTGGATATTAAATATATGCAGACTTTAGACATGAGAAAACATTTACAGAATTTTCTTTCCTTTTGATCTTTTTGGGGGGTCACTCATGTACAAACTCAGATGGTAAACTCTGTCTTTCAGAAATAGGGAGACAGGACACTGAGTAAAGTGTAGTCTTTGGCAGCTGCTTTTATTCCTGGAATTTTATTAGGAAACTGTCAAAGTAACTAGATTTCACAAGAGGATCAGTCAATGCTAACTTGTCATGAGTATCAGCTCTGGTTTCTGGATCATGAGGCTTGCAGGGACGTGCTGGGCAAGACACCAAGTTCACAGAGAGTGCTGCCAGCATTTAATCCAAGTGTATTGGGTCACTGGGGTAGACAGAGAACAAAAGTCCGTAATATCTCAGCAGCTGCTATGTGACAACAGGCACAGTAACTGTAAAGAAGGTTGGAACGGGAGCCATCCAGGGAAATGTCTATCCCGCATCAAGCATCTGAGTCGGGCTGTGTACAACAGGCTGAGTCTATGTAGTTTTTACAATCAAGACCACAGTTCTGCTCCCAGAGACAGACTAGATTGTGTCTGTGTAGGTGGATAAAATCATTCAGTTGGTTGAGACTTTAAAAGCTCATCTAGTCCAACACATTGCATCAGACAGACTCGAATGTCATAATTTCCAGACACACAGGAATCCCTTCCGTTCTAAAATCTCGGTAGGTAAGTCTGTTTCACCACATTTCCCCACCTCTCTCTTGTTTGGCATCTCTCTGGTCAGGAAACATTTATGTTTAAAACGAATCCATTTTAAAAACATGTTTAATAATGTTTAAAATGTTATTAAAAATCTAGAAAAGCGCTTGGCATTGTGTGTAAAGCATGGTTCCTGCCTTCGCATTTGTTGGACTTCATTTCTTCTGCCAACTTTGGTAACCCTTCACGCAGAATGAATTTTCCCGAGTTCCCATACTTTATGAATTTGTTATAGCATTTATCACATTCTGATTTTTATGATGTTTTGTGTGTGCTTGTGCACGCCCGTTATCTCCTTGCTGGATCAATAGGCTTCTAAAGGCATAAAAATGGAGAAGTTGGGATCAGCTCGACGGTCTGTTTTGCCAAATAATTTGAAGGAACTTGAGGATCTATGTTTTACTATCCAATGTTAATACTTTTGATAGAGCAGAAACTTGATAAATCTGTCAAATTAAAATGAACATCTTGTGCGTAAGAAGTGGAGATAGTATTATAAGCGGTCTTATCGCTGAGGCAAACAAACAGCCTAAAATATCTATTTATAAGCCCCTGGTTAAATGCAGTTTGGGATACTATATAATAAAATACTATGCCCTACTGAAAGGATGGAGGCATGTCTATACATACCAACATGGAACAATCACCGAGATATGGTGTTAAGTGAAAAAAGTGAGATGCAGAATGATGGGTATGGAATGCTAGAATTTGTAATAAAAAAAGTCTGTGTATGTATGCATTATGTGCATAAAATATTTCTACAAGGATGCAGAAAGAATTAGTAACAGTGGCTGCTGATCAGGAGGACAAATGGGGAATGGGGAAGGGGGAGTGGTGGGTTCATAAACCAACTCTCTGGAGATAAGGAAAAAACCCTGTGTGTAGAGTTTGATCATAGTTGTGGTGTAAATACCTCCATTGTGGCCAATTGCAAGCTCACAGTGATACAACAATAGGCTCACAAAGTTGGCTCCATGAGGTGATAGGAGGTGGCTTCAAAGCTTATCTCCAGACACAGAGGTGGGAAGGTGGCCTACCACTGTAGCCGCTTTGGTACAATTTGAATTTCTGATGCCATACTTGGATTGACTACTTAAAATGTTAACAAACTCTTAAATTTAGAAAAATTTTCCATTAGCCTTCTCTTCTCCAAGAGCCTTAGTTTTCCTTCCTTGAGAGTACCGGTTTCTGCTCACCTCTACCTGGTCAGTCTTTCTGTTAGGTGATGTATCAAGGCAGTCTTGTGCAAAAAGGAACACTGAAGATTTGTCGCCTCTTGATCAGTAGAGAAGGCAGCTACTGCCTAAGTGTGGAAGCTGCAGGAATGTTCAGGCTAGGAAAGAGCCACTTCCAGAAAGAAGCTGCTGGTGAAGCTGGGACTCATGGTGTAAGCAACTCATGGGGTAAGCACAAAAACCCAGCTTCCTAGCGGCCGTATGGGTGTGTGGATCCTCTGCTGGTCAGGACGTAACCAAATGGATGCTTCTCCATCACAGCGGCCCACCTGAAAGGATACTGGCAGGTGGGAAATTCCTCAGCGTTCTCCCCATGCTCCTCCCCCACGGTGCCTGCCGACCCAAGTTGGACGGCCAGGCTAGAGAGTGGACATCAGTTACTGCCAGCCAAAAAGATTCCTTCTCCAATCTCTCTAGAAGCCACCTTGCACCAATCCCCACATCTGGTTTTCGTTCACGACTGGGGTCAATGTGTCTAATACCAGCTTACTTTTCCGTTTTTAGCTGAAATATTTCTCCTTAGACTGTTATAAGCTCACCCTGCCCTTGTCTATCACTTATCACACCTGACGGTTTATTGAACCTGATCAGCGGAGCACAATGCCTGTCTTATTTAGAGGCATATTTCTAAAACCTTGCACAATGCCTACCACATATTAGGCACTCAATGTGTATCGGCTGAATGAAGTAATTAGTCAGTTATGCTACATTCTAACGGAACTTTCAAAAGCAAACATCCAGAGACATCTCATAAAGGGAACATTTTATTTGGAGAGATCTTGAGCATTACTTTATCTTCATTTTCCATTAAGGCAGTAACAGTCTTCCTGGGGGCAGGTGGGGGAGAATCATCTGAGGCTACATTAAGTTCAGTCTAAGATGAAGCCAACCACTTTGTATTCAGATACAGCAGAAATACAGATCATGAGCTAAGAGAGGCCACAGACTGGCTTCTCGAACGTGCTGCGGAGGAACAGATCCAGGGCGAGTCATCTCAATTGCTTTGAAAAATGGCTAAGTTCCATTACATGCCGTCCCTGAAGAGGATACCTCGTTGATGAGCCCTGTTACCGTGACGGAGGCAGTCTAGTGTTGGTTCACAAGGCTCTGTTTCTTCTTAGCCTTAGGTAGGTTTTCATGGAAATCGTATCATCTATTACGGCTGCTCAAATTCACACTGCTCCTCTGGTTTTGTTTCAGAATTCTTTAAATATACATTTTCATATGTATATGACTCTGTGGGGGGGGTGTGTGTGAGGGGGTGTGGTGGGGGCACTGTTCATTGGCACATGTTGCCCCCTTGAGCTTGGGGGTGGCAAAAGCTTCTACACTACCAAAAAAGTAAACATTGATAATATGGCCTGCAGCAATCAGATGTACTAAGATCTAAGAGCAAATGAAAGTCGAGCCGAATTGCTTCCAGTCACCAGATAGTTAGCCATACCACAAGGAGATCTAGCATGCAGGGCTAAACGCGCGGGGAGGCAGGACCTGGAAGGATAGAGGCTTTGTTGTGGCTCCACACTGCCCCCTAGTGGTATGACACTCAATTACACCCTCCTTGGATGTAACCTGCCTAGTTAAAAAAGAATCTCTCTGAAGGCACAGTATTCAAGATGTTAGACCTGGTCTGAGCCCAAATAGTAGAGTTAAAAAACAGAAGCTTCCTATTGGCTGATAAAACCAAAACTTAACGACATTTGGGACACAAGTTCTGAGGAGAGGCTCTGAGGATGTCTTACTTCTGCAAGTCACCATCGACTCTTGGGACCCCAACAGCCTGACTGATCTGTCAGATGCTCAAACTTGAGGATGGGCAGCAGAGGTGGGCCACAGAGAAGGCGTAGTTCTGACAGACTGTAGGAGAAGGGGAGCAGGAGGAGAGGCCTGGAACAGATCAAATGCTGGCCTCCAGAAACAGGCTTTAGGACCGGTTGGATGAGTCCCCCCTCCTGGCTCTCGCCTTGAACAAAAAAGGCAGCCAAATTAAACCGCTTTGAAATATTGTTAAAATTAATAACACTGCAGCTACTATACTTGACTAATGGCAAAAGCAGGAAGGGTGCCTGGAAGAGAAGTTTTTTTTTTTCCTTTTCCTCTAGATTTTCAAGAAGCAATAAATTCAACAATAACAAAGATTTGTAAGAGGGTTTTGTTGGTTCATTTGCAAAGAATGAAGCATTTTTGTTAAATACAGGAGAGGCTACCTGGCTTAACACACATACACTTTTTGGAATCCTATATAATGTCACCAAGTTGAAAACTTTGGAATGGCTTCAATCATCCGCATGCTTCCTGTAGGCAGGCATCCCAGGCTGAGCAATCAGGAACGTGCGTGTCGCCTCCCCACTGGGATTTACACCCTCTTCATTCCTTTCCCCATGAGGCAAGCAAACACTGTCATGACCATTTTGGGGTTCACTTCGACCAGGTCTTCTGGAAGGGCATACACTCTGGCACCAATTTTTCGGGCCATAGAAATGGCATACCTAAAAGGGAGGAAAGAAGAAGACTGAGAACCGCCTGAGCAACAAAGTGTGAAAAGTGTGAAGGGGATGCCTCAGGATCATAGTTATTGTCGTTCCACATACCACATACCACGTACCACACCACCACATACCCTATCCTCGATACTCCGCAGAACTCGTTCTTGGAACAGCCGGAGTCAGTCATGGCACCCTCCCACTTTTGTGGGCAAGTCTTGGCCCAACAAAGCTCCTGACTCTATCAGACTTGCTGTCGTAGACTCAGGATAATTACCAAATTTATTATTTGTCTGTAGAGACCCCCTTAGCTCTTGCCACTTTTGATGCCTTCACCATGAGTATTCTCTTGGGCTGTAGAGCAGCAGAAAAAGTCATAGAACTGGACCAGAATGTGCGCTGGGAAAAGTTGGCAGACTCCATTTCCACCACAGGCATGTTTTTACGAGGAAGAAAAGAGGGGAGATGCATCTGTCGTACTTCGACCTCACACATCAGTTTTATTGTTTGTTCCATTCCAGTCCTTGCCCACATAGGCATGTATTTATTTATGTTACTATAATACTAGTATAGCCAGAGTTTTATACGACACATTTTTCACATAAGATTATTATGGCTCCATTGGAACATTTTGCTCGCTTTTTAATTATATGAAAATAATTTTTATGAGTTGTAGTCTATTTTCAAATGAGCCCACACTACTACCTGGCAATTCTTTTATTCACCTCATTTATTATCTAGTCACCTCTTACAAGGACTACTCGAGAGATCCTCCCTTCTACCCACAGCCCCATTACTCCCTCTGCTCTGTATACTAAATTTATTCTTCCTCTATTGATCATATTAAATGAAAAGCATCAGGCAGGCACAGTCCCCATTCCTTCTCCTTGCCCATTTCTCAATCACTTCTATATTAATTATTAATGAACTAAAAATGTACTTTTCTATTACAAATATAGGAGGGAAGTTGCTGAAAAATTAGAAAAAAGAGCTTCAAAAAATCATGCAAATCTTGCCACCAAAACATAACCATTTTTAGCATCTTGTATAATCCCTTTTACCCATTTTTCTAAGGAATTTTGCATCATGCCCATAGAGACTAGTGCTTGGGAGGCTGGGCTCTGATGTCAGACTTTGAACCTCAGCTGAACCGCTTAGCTACTCTAAGACCTTGGGCTCTGTAAACTGATTTAAGGAACTTTAAGTTCTTTAAACCTAATCACATTCCCCTGGAACAACTAGGCCCATTTTTGTTCTGTTTTGTTTTGTTTTAAATCTCTGGGTCTTCATTATGTATTCTTCCCTCTACCTGGAGTGTTCCTTCTGCTTCCTTCCCCCGTCTACTTCTACCCTCCTTCTTACTTGTCCTTTCAATTCTTCTCACCTTAGATGTTATGTGCTTTGTAGAGCTTTGTTTCCCTTCCTGTCTCTTCCACAGCACCCTGTATCCTCCATCTAGCCCATCCATCTGTTGTAGTTACCATTTATAATTCCAGCATACAAGGAACACAGGCCCCCGACTTTCCCAAATTGGGAACAGAAAGAAGAACACTGTTGAGGTTATATATATATACAGGGCTGCGGGGCACTATTCAACTTGTTAATTCTGGAACTTTCTGACGGATTGAATTGCATCTCCCCCCAAAAAATATATATGGAAGCGCTATCCCCTAGTAACTCCGATTATGACCTTCTTTGGAAAGAAAGTTGTTTCAGGTGTAATTAGTTAAGATGAGGCCCTGCTGGAGTAGGGGGAGGCCCTAATCCAGTATGACTAGTGCCCATAAAAGAGAAGAGACCCAGACACACAAACACACACACACACACACAGAAGGAAGACAGCCACGTAAAGTCACAGACACATAGGGGAGGTCATGTGAAGATGGAGGCAGAGACTGGAGTGATGCATCTATAAGCCAAGGACTCTGGCCGTCACCAGAACCTAGGAGAGAGGCAAGGGAGAGATTCTCCCTCACAACCTCAGAAGGAACCAACCCTGCCAATGTCTCAATCTTGTGCCGATAGCCTCGACAACTATGAGAGAATACATTTCTGTTGTTTTAAGCTGCCCTGTTTGTGGTACTTGGTTAGGACAACCCCAGCGAATAATACAACCTGCTCCGAGAAAGGCACCACTCCAGCTTATCGGTCAGCAAACTTTCCATAAAAAACCAGGCAGTAAGTATTTTAGGCTTTGTGGGCTTTGTCACAACTACTCAGTGCTGCCCTTCTAGCAGGGAAGCGGCTAGAGAAAACATATAAATGAACAGCCATGGCTATTCCAATGAAACTTTATAAAAGCAGACAACCATCCAAATTTGGCTCACAGACTGTAGTCTGCTGACCCTCACTCTACATGGTAAGGCTGCCCTCAAGCAGCTGCTCCCGAGCTGGTACAGACTGGTCTTGAACCCCAGTCCTGCCCAGTCATATCCATGGATAATCACAAATGGGGTGTTTATATTTGGGCCTGGCATGGACTTTATTTAGGAAGTCTCTGATAGATTACAATCAGGAAATGGGTTTTATGAAACTATAGGCTTGCTTATCAATTGGAAGAATATTCTTGTTGTTCTCTGTCTTGCTCCCATTCTAACACTAGGAGTCTTAAACTGCTATCATACCACATCTAAAGTAATGATGATGGGACACAGTAAATAATGAGAAGAAAAAGCAAACAGTGCAATAAACTGTTTGCACAAAGGCACAAGCAACAGACTTTACAGCTATCCAGTTGCCAGTTGGGTCCTCCTCTCCCTGGCCTCAGGTTTATTTACGTACTTTGCATTGTTGAGTTTCTCGTCATCATCCAGGTTTTCTGTCTTCAGAAGGTCATAGTTGATGGAACCCGGTTGAATGGCATCAATGAGATCCAGAACAGGCAGACTTGTGCTAATCTTTGGGTCCTGCACAGAGAGAAAGAGTTAGTTTCATCAGTATGTCCCCAAGTTACTTCTGTTCAGCTCAAGGGAAGTAGGTGGTTCTCCCCTCTTAAATATGAAAGATATATAGCCTGATCTGGGAAATGCCACAGCGTTCCACATGGGGTTTCAAGTCAGCTGTAGTTTCTGTAGGCAGGGGTGTCACCAAGTTCCTAGTGGCTCTGTAAGTGGAGGAAACCCATTGTCTGCCAACAGGCAGGGAGTGGTTCTCACGGAGTGAACGGAAGGAAGTTTGAAGGACATCCCGGAGCTGACTGGCAGGGATCATGATGAGGACCCAGCTGGGCAGGAGCTTCAGCACATGCTCCTTTCTTGGAGACCTCAGGGAAAGAATAGTGTCTGTAGGTCCAAGGAGGCGGTTACGGCAGTGTGATTAATATGCGATGACACTAACTAGTACTGGTCAGTGCCTCACGGTTTGCCCAGAACTTCTCGTCGGTTACTTCATGTGTCACCACCAGCCTCAGGTCTAGGCATCTCCTCTTAATGGACAGTGAGTAAAGGGAGTTTCTGAGTTTCGGGGACTTACTAGTAAGTGGTCAGGCTGGCATTTGAACCTAGTTAGTCCGACTGAAGAGCGTGAGCTCTTTCTTTGGCATCGAAAACATTTTCACGTTCACGCCTAGAGCTGTGAGTGCTCCCGTCTGCTATCGCCTCTCCTGGGCACCTCTGAGTGCATGCATGGAGAGGCGATGGCACGTGACCCTCTGAGCACAGTCAAATCCAAACACCGCACACCTTGAGGGTCCAAATCAGAATGCATTCTTAGCAAGAACAAGCTATAGGACCCCTGCGAGATGCTAGGTCTCCAGCATCGGTCCTCTGGAGGAGAGGAATGATATTTTAAAAAGTATAATGGGTCCATTTTTATTTACTCCTTGGTAATGTGAGGACTATTACAAAATTAAAATCACCATGTAATCGTAATCTAATTTCCAACATGAGCCTGAGCTTCTATCTCCATAGAACCTTTTGAAGAGCCACGAGGGAAGCCAAATGGAGGGATGTGAGTTTGGCCTCCTCCCCTGCTTTCTGCCCACAGTCTTGTCAAAGCGCTGACAGGCAGAGCTCGCTAGCATAGATGGGGAGGCGGGGAGCCAGGACTGGTTCCAAAATGGTTAATCAAGAGTGAACTGTGTTTTTTTGTTTTTTTTTTTTAAGGGTTAAAAAAGGAATGTGGGGCTAATTGGACATTTTCCTTTTGTGTTTTATTTATTTATTTATTTTTTTACTTAATCAATTCTATAATGACTTTGTGAGAAGACAGGAGAAAATTAGCCCAGAGCGACACAAGGAGTAAAAGAGCTGTCAAACATTCTCAAGAGTGAGTCCCCACGAGAACAGCCCGGACGCCACAGGGCGTCCTAATGGGCAGCAGCGGCCGCTGTTGTACGGACAGATTGCACCCCCGGGCTACCAACCCGAGTGCTGCAGAGTAATGCTTCAGTGGCCCGTAGCTACACGCTGCTCTGTAACCTCCCCTCACAGGTAAAGGCGCTTTCTGCTCACTGATGGATCATCTCCTGCAATTACTAGCTGTAACCTCAATCACTTGAGCTCCAGTTTCCTTACATATAAAATGAGGTAGCCAGTAAAGCTGCCTTCACGATGTTGGTGAGATGACACGAGGCATTACAAACAAGGAGCCCCTGGTGCTCTGGGCACAGTCCATATTGAGAGTGCTCCCAGATTTGGCCTGTTGTCTGCTTTTATAAATAAAGTTTTATTGGAACACAGCCATGCCCATTCATTTATATATTTTCTGCAGCTGCTTCCTTGCTGCAACAGCAGAGTCCAGACAAAGTCGGCCCTTCCCAATCTTTTTGGAAGGACTTGCTCATGCCTCTCACCAGCCTCTCTGCTCCCATCTCTGCTCAGCTCTTCAGACTGAAGGGTAAACTGGAGGAGAGACAAAGGCGGCCATTATCTGTGATGAGCTCACAGGGAGTGGACACTCCTGGTACGGCACAACTCAGAAATACTGTCTGCTCTTTTTGGTGGGTGAAATTTTAATTTTTTTTTCCTTGATTTTGAAGCGGAAGACTGAATCATGACAAACTGCCTCACCAATCGTGTTAATACAAACTCTGAAGGGATCCCTCCCCCTCATTCCTGACCTTTAAAACAAAACAAAACAAAACACAAAAAAACCATAGTTAAGATGGCACAGACATTATGACATGAATCAAGTGCGCAAGTCCCTAGGGGAAGGATCCAGCCAATGTATGAAACATGAGTTAAGAAATTTAATAAAGTATAATGCAGTTTTTAATAAAAATGGGATTTGGATACAAGTACACAACTGCTTTTCCCCAAAAAACACCACAGGGGAGATCTTTTAGCATTTTATATTCCACCATCATTAAGAGTATAATCTGAATCATGAAGCCGTGTGCATTTAAAAAATATTATCGTATTTTATGTTACTTTGGAAGAAAAATGCCTAAAATAATGCATTTAAAATGATGGGTTTTTAAAATTAGTTATTACAGGAGAAAGTGACAAGAAATTTGTCAACGAAATGGCCCGTGGACACCAAAACAATAATGGGTCATTCAAGCAAAATCAAAATTGGAGGGGAAGCCTCAGACACCTCACACTGAAGGTCAATTTAAAATAGAGTGAAAACAATAAAGATAAGCATAGAGCTCAGGTGACTGTGAGCAGCAGACTAAGACTTTTTACCTTGAAACTAGAGATGGATGAACTTTTCGCCGCTTCCTTCAATGTTTCATTCACCCAGTTGACAATAATGTCGTCATTGACCTTCTGCCCGCCTCCAATTTCTTCAAGAATATTCAACGTGTACCTAAACAAAATCAAGAATGATTGCTGGAAAAAAGTCGCTAAGGAATTCAATAACACAGAAAGTAGCCAGGGTAGAAATGTTCTTTTCTTTCTAGGTATGCCTCAGAAGATAGCCTGGACACCATTACATTTGCAAGGAAAAAATAAAATAAAAACAACATTACTTCCTTTTAGAATGTAATTTAAAATGTAGCTTTGTGGTTATTATTGTGAGATGCAGAGCAAATGCCTCCTCCTAAGCACTGTCATTGCTCTGCGTAGGAAGGGAAAGCAGAAGAGAGGGAAAGCAAAGCAAAGATTCAAACCCGTGACACTTTTCTTAAAGGAACCACAAAAATGGAGGGACAAGTCAATGTCAGAAAAACCCAAGGGGCCAACATAATAAAGGAAAAATATAAAAGAGTTCCCTTCTTATACCATAAAAGTAGAAATATCAGGAATACACAGACCAAAGTTAATCTTTTAGTCTGAGCGTTAAGAATCACCTTAGATGCATACTGTTAGGAGAATTGGGTTTTTTGGGGAAAAGATTAAAAAGATGCTTCAAGGGGCACCTGGGTGACTCAGTAGTCGGGCATCTGCCTTCGGCTCAGGTCGTGATCTCAGGGTCCTGCGATCGAGTCCCGCATCGGGCTCCCTGCTCAGCGGGAAGCCAGCTTCTCCCTCTCCCACTCCCCCTGCTTGTGTTCCCTCTCTCGCTGTGTCTCTCTCTATCAAATAAATAAAATCTTAAAAAAAAAAAAAAAGATGCTTCAAGCTCTAGTAAATCAAAGAGTAGAGTGGTAGGTGTAATAACTAGAATAACTTTCTCTCAGGGAAAGCAAGGAGAAAGTCAAGGTGAGAAATACTTAGTCTGGGCCCAGAGATGGGACTAAAGCCTAAGGAATTAATGGGTATGAATGGGATAAGGCTCACGTAGATTTTCAAAATAATCCTATCCTGGAAAAAGGCCCCAGTTTTGATCAGTTCTTGAGATGATGTTTTATGGCCTCACTGGCTTATTTCCTGATAGTAAGCATGGGTATTGAGTTATGAGCATTTACCATAACAACGAAGCATTTCCGCCTAGTGAATGGGCTAAGAAAAGGCAGGTGAGTGCACACTTCATCTGTCATGTCTATATACTGCCTCATGGGACAAACGGAGTTTGATCAGCTAGAGGCTCCACTCGTCTCAGGGGTGAATTCTCACTTCCCTTTGTCAGGATGCCCATACTGCTTTGTTGACAGTGTAGGGGCCAAGGGCATAAAGATTATTTTGAGTTAAAAGCAATCAAAACCCAGCAGATTCAGGAAAAGCTCTTTACCTCCCTCCAGGCCTGCCGAAAAGAATTTAGATTGAGGACCTACTCCTGGAAGAGAGCTATCAGCATAGATAATTGCATTACACTATGAACGAGGTACGGTAGACACGGGGGAACCTAGCAAGGCCTGTTTGGTCAAGGTCCTCTATGTCCTATGTTTCTGAGGGGCCCCACCAAACATCCGTTTACCAAACATTTACTCTCTTCATCTTCCTGTGAATTACATTCCTTTTCTTTGAAGTCCCACACCCCTTCCCCTTCTCCTTAGTCCAGAATGATGTACAACTTCATTTCGCCTGACCATCTTTGGAATTTCCACGTCTGTGTGGATTCCTGTTCATACAAAATTAAATTTGCTTTTCTCCTATTAATCTGTCTCATGTCAGTTTGATTCCTATGCTGGCTAGAAGGACCCTGAAAGGCAGAGTAAATTCTTCCTCCCTGACAACACTCTCAAGTGTACAGAAGCTAGGGAAGAAACTGGTATACACAGGCTCACCTCAATACAAAAGTCTATCTGTGCAAACACAAAAAGCCACCGAGGACCAGGGAAACTGAGAGACATAGAGAAAAGCATGGAGGCAGCTGGCTGCATTCAGGGGTCTGAGTACGGTCCCTCATGGTGGCACAGGGGTTCTGGTGAGTACAAAATTGCCCTTTGCCCACCTCAGGGAGGTGTGGCGGTTTAAATGGAAACGTATACCCACCTGTAAGTACAACGGTAAAAACAAAGGGAAGAAAGGACAGAATTAGGTTGGAGTCTCCACTCTGGACAGTCCACTAAAAGCACTAGCTATAGATTCAAAATGTAAAACAAAAATCAATGTGGCCCAGGTCTACCTAGGATTTTCCTTGTGAGATAATCACTCCATACCATCAAACATTTTTGGGGGCAACAGTGCTTTTATTAACTGGAACCTCCAGACAGGATCCCCAGTATCACTGGTTCTTGCACACTGCCCTGTGCTGAGAAACCATCGGTCACAGTGAAAGGGTGTCACGAGCCTTAGCTTCAGCCAATGCCCGATTCAACAGAAGAGGATGGATGAGGTGTGCATGCGCAGCGCCGGAGGGGCTGCGATTATTACTTGCTTGCCTTTCTGCCTTCCAATGCTTGTTTGATTTATTTAACATTTGACCCAGAGGGACCAATTTTGCAAGGACCTATCCCAAATTCACTGTCCACAGCCTGTTTGATCTGGGGTGAATTCCTCATTTGCCTGCCTCTTTGTTCATTTGCTGGAGTCTGACACCACCGTCTGCTGGCAGCTTCCTTCCTTCCAGCTTCTGTCTCCAAATTTATACATAGACTGTTTGCCAGCTTTCTAATCTGAGAACGATTTCCAGGCTCCTGAAGGGGAGACGGAGGTTTAAGCACATATCTCTCATTTGTTCTTAGGGGGAAAAATGACACACCATTTGTTGTCCAGATAAATGGCCAAATTAGCACATCTGTGCAATCCAATGAAATAAATTCCAACTAGAACTAGCTCTAAATTTAGTAGATCTGTTAATGTGTGGCACAGAGAGGAAAAAGATCCCTTTTCGTGGCATTTACATAATTATCAGTCATTCCATCACCTTCACCAGTAATGTATTTCTCTGTCCACTTTCTTATATGCACCATTCTTGAATAAGCACTCATGAGAAATGTGACTGATTAGCCAGGTAGGGACAGCAGGCTGCAGTCTAGACCTTATCGTATATAAACCAGCTATCAGGTACAACATCGGGCCGCGTTTCTGTAAGATTACAGAACAAAGATGGTATTACAAGGTGATTTTCAGGTATTATGAAATTCAAAATGGCTTAGAGTTGGCCTGAGGTTTTTTTATCATTAAAAGAGAAAATATCAAAGATTATCTCATATTCAAACCCAAAAGTCAACTTAACCATTGCAACTAAAAAGATCTGTTTTGTTTTTTAAAGCAATCAGTAGCCCAAGTCAGTCTGTTAAGAATTAAAAACACACATCACCACATCAAAAACTAATGAGGTATTGTATGGTGACTAACGTAACATAATAAAATTAAAAAAAAATAAAAATAAAAAAAGATCATTTGTAAAAAAAAAAAAAAAAAGGAGTGAAAAATAACAAGCAATGCATTATCATACTGCTCTGTCTTTGCATGCAGGCCAGACCTCCTGAATTTACATGAACTTAGCAAAGAGATGTCTATAGCATTCTGCTTGAATCAAGCACTTTATGATAAAGTCATGTTCAGTGTCAGAGCCTGACGTAGTTTTGGAATATAGGTGAGGTTCGGTGGGGTGAGGTCCAGAGCCGACAACCAAGAAAGAATTCTTGAGACGTCTTTGGAGCAAAATGGTGGTTTTATTAAAGCTTGGGGACAGGACCCGTGGGCAGAAAGAGCTGCTGCCCTGGGGTTGTGAGCGGTAAAAAAACAACAACAACAACAAAAAAAAAACACATGAAAGACAATAGAGACTAGGTCACACGTTTCTGAAAATACGCTGGTGCGGCAGCCCTTAGGGGCTTTCAGTGACATCCTAGATGTATGCAGCAAGATAGAAGATGGGGCTCAAGTTCCTTTAGCTCTGGAGTTTTCTGTCCCAGAAGAGCCTTATGACATCTGCCTTTCAACTTCAAGGAGACCCCAGTTTAGAGATGAGTAGTAGAGCGCTACACTTGGTAAAGCAAGTGTGAATCAGGTAGCAAACTCCATCATGATCACTTCTGATTATACCACATCACCTGGAAACACTGACATACTTAGAGGACCATTATGAGTATCAGGAACTAGAGACAGTGGCTTGGGAATAAAGCTGAAGTGCCTAGAGACACTACACACCTTGTCTTTGCCATTCACTTGTGAGACATCGTGTAATGTGACATGTGGTTTCTGGAACTTCCTTCAAGGTAGAAAATGAATTAAGTCACAGTGACATAGGCTCTAATAAAGGGATGTAAGATTTCTGCCTGGTCAAGGCCACTAGGCTAGGGGGAAAGAGTGAAGCATTTAAAAGTAAACTATTTTACACTTAAAGATTTGCTATCTTAAATTCTTCCCAAGCTCATGCTTTTGCACCAAAAATCGTTTCCTTTTCTTGTATTTTCTATTTATATATTACATTCTACATTGTCAAAGGCTCTCACATTAATTCAACTCTAAAAGTTATCTAAACAGTCTTGTGACGAACTAGCAGGAAATTCTGCTTCTGGCCATGGTGTGGTAACAGGGACCGGCCTTACCCTTCTGCCTTACTGGACAAAGTAAGCACAAAACAGTGGTCCCTGAAAGAAGGAAAGCAAACCTGGTGAGCCCTAACTGTCCCAGCTTATTGTGTGAAGAGTTTCCAGGCTGTAGCGCAGAGAGAGAGAGAGAACCCGAGCAGAGCATAGCAGTCCCCCTGAGTTGAGAGGACAGGATCGAGAACTCAAGGAAACCAAGGTGCCTGAAATTTGTGCGGCAGAATACCAGAGAGGAGAGAGCTGCCTGGAGAGGAAAGAGTCACCTGGAAAGAAAGCTCCAGACATCTTCAGAGGGTTTGCCATAAGTCTTTAGCTGAGTATTACTCAATGCATGTGTGTGAGCAAACTACCAGAAACTGCGACAAGAACTGTCAGAAACGAATGAGCAGAATGATTCTCAGAGCACACACAGCACTGGAAATAATTTGGTTCCCACCAGTCAGAGTAGAAACACCTCATGATACCTGGAGCATCGAGTTCAATACTCAGAGGGGATTATCTCAGTACTGAGAGACAAAATTACCTCAAGACTATTTAAACTTTTAATAAGCCTCAAAAGGATCAGACTGTGTTTAAGTAACTTAACTGCATCCCAGGACAAAATTCAAGAATATTTAAAGGAATACAGAAATATCAGCACACAGCAAGGTGAAATTCACAATGCCTCACATACAATAAAAAATTAGTAGGCATGCAAAGAAGCAGTAAAATATGACCCATAACGAGGATAAAAATCAATTAATAGAATCAGACCCAGAAATAACAGCTACTATAATTATGTTCTGTATGTTCAAGAAGGTTGGAAGAAAGAGACATGGGAGACCCTGAAAAGACCCAACTCAAATTTTTATACATGAAAACTGTAATGTCCAAGATAAAAAAATATATATACACTGGATGAGATTGATACAAGATTAGACATTACAGAAGAAGAGATTAGTGAATTTGAAGACAAAGCAATAGAAATTATCCCAAATGAAACAGAGAGAGGAAAAATGAAACAGAGGGGAAAAATGAACAGAGTATCAGTGAACCTTGGGACAACTTCAAATGCCCAAATAGATATGTACCTGGAGTCCCCCCAGAACAAATTGGGGTGGATTATATAGGAAATATATTTGAGGAAATAAAGACCAAAAGTTTTCCATATTTGATGAACATTACAAACCCTCAGATTCAAGTTCAACAAACCTCAAGCATGCGAAAAACCAAAGCCCATTATAATCCACTTGCTTAAAAACAGTGGTAAAGAGAAAATCTGAAAGCTAGAGAAAAAAGACATTACATACCAAGGAATGAAGATAAGAATGACAACAGATTTATCATTGCAAACAATGCAAGCCAGAAGGCAAAGAGCACTATCTTTAAAGAACTGTAAGAAAAAAACTATCGATCTAGAATGCCACAGAGAAAATACCTTTCAAAAATGAAAAATGAAATAAAGACTTTTTAGACATCTAGAAGCTAGAATGCTTCCTCCCCAGCAGATCTACACTGTTAGAAATATTTCAGAGAGAAGGCAAATGATATCAGATGGAAATCTGGATCTACACCATGGAAAAGCACTGGAAATGGCAAATGGGTAAGTATAGTACATATAGCACATTTCCCTCATATTTGGAAAGCCTCTTTAAAAGATAATTGACTACACAAATCTAAAAATAAAAGGTTGGAAAAAGACATGTCATGCTAAAATTAATCGAGAGAAAGCTGGAGTGGCTATATTAACATTAGAAAAAGTAGATTTCAAAGAAAATATTACCAGGAATAAAGAGGGTCACATCATAATGAAAATTGGGTGATTCATTAGGAGGATAAAACCATCTAAAATATTTAGGAATCTAATAAAAAAGCTTCAAACTACCTGAAAGAAAACTTAAAAGACCTGAAAAGAAACAAAACAAAACAAAACAAAACAAAACAGGAAAATAACAAAACACTCCTTTGGTTTTAAGTTTAGCTTCAAAATATCGTTTTGCTGGTTCAAACCACATTCCTGAACATTTACTAGTATGTTTCCAGGTCAATAATATACTCAATAAAAAGTCATTTCCCTGAGTTACGTTACCTTCTCATTAACTGCCAAATCAAGGCTAATGTTAGAGTGCGGTTTCCTTCATTGAGATCTTGTCCCCCGATGCCAACCAGGGAGAACTTAGCTTGATTCTTCCCCAACTCCACTGCATAGTTACAATTTTCAAGCTGTTAATGAGCAAGAAGGAAAACATTCTAATGTCATCATCTCTATGATGAGAAATACAAGATACTAAAAATAAAGACACAAAATGAAATAAGTGTTGTCAGGCCGAATGATCTCTCAAGTCTTGCCTGGTTCTGCAATGCTAGGGTTTTAAACTAGTCCAAGAATTGCCCATCTTTTTTTTTTTTTTTTTTTAAATAGAACCCCTCACTTCCACCAAAACATATTCACAGTGTACTCTAAGTGCAAAACCAAAATGAATTCATTATTATGAACACTGTCATGGCTCTATCACACTCCAGAAATAGAGGGCCATGCTCAGTTACCTGTCCATGATATTCCTGAAACAGCTGAATGCATGGAGATTGTCATGGAAAATCTGGATTCTCCATCCTACATGCACATAATGGGCTGACATGTGGGACAGGGAGGTATTCCCGTGGCTACGCTTGGATCATTAAGAGCCAAAAAGACAAGGAATGGTGAGAAATATGTGTGCCAACCCCATCGCTGCTTTCACAAAACAGTATGTTCCCACTGTGTTGACGTTAGACAAACTATTTGTACAAGTCAAACTGTCAGTACAAAGCTCTAATTCTTTAGGAAATTAGAATAAGGATCCTGCTGGTGGAAAAGCGACCCTGTGGCTCTGCTTGCTCTAATTATCTTAATTAGAATTTTTACATCATAATGTTTAAAGATATCCAACATGGAATTATAAATAAGTAATCAACTGAAATAATGGACTCACTTTAATGAAATCATTCAGGCTTCTGATTGCTGTGCTATAATTTAATCCCTGGATAAACATTACTTATCTAAGTCTGGCCTCCTAATAAAGTATTCACAGCGTGCCCTTGCAGGCTTGTGACTTCACCTGCCCGTTGGAACATCTGGAGAGTCATTGTTTACCTTCTTCATGTTGCCCCCCAGTTTGGGGTATGGTGGTTTGTTTACTCTGTTCCAATCAACAGGGACTTTAATCTTTTCATAGAGCTGGAAGATGACCAGGGCATCTGATAAGTCACTGGACAAAAACAAACACAAAAGAATTCTCAGAGAGCCACCATTTATTAAGAGCCTACGGTGGGCAGGCACTTCCTTATATATCGGCACAAGGAACGTTTGCAACAACCCGACAGAAATTGGTATTTGTAGCTCCATCTTTAGAGGTGAAGAAACTCTGACACAGAGAAATTGAAGAAACTTACTCGAGGTCTCTCCCAGCTGTGGCTACCTATGCCCCTGGAGCTGGAGCATGCTGCCTCCAGGAAGAGAAATATGGCTCCAACAAATGGCACAGGAGACACGTCACCATAAACTTAACATTTTTTTGTTTTGCCTGCTTAGGAGCAGATCACAGGCTTACAACATGTAGTAAATCTGTCCTTTTGCTGGGTTATGATTTTGTACTGAAGTGAGTTTCTCAGCTAAAGAGCCAACACCTGCAGCTCAATTTGGCACTAGCCCCCTTCTCATCAAGGTGCACACATTTGTGTGAAGAGAACTGCACACCACAGAGATATTTGAAATCGTGGGGATCTTCCAAGGTCTCAGTGTCTCCCGTTAAAGATGAGTCCCCACATACTCTTACCTGTACAAGTGATTGACTCGAGGGTTAACGCCCAAGGAATTCATCCAGTTCCTAAATGTCCGCTCTTCCCTCGTCTCACCTAAATTAATGAAGACCTGTTATCTTTCGGGCCCCTAGAAAATGTGCCTTTTTTATGATCAAAGGTTAACTAAAGAGGCTATAATAAAAATTGAACCTAGAATGAAAAAACCTCATTCAATAAACCTTAACGGATTTGGATGAGAATTGTTATTCTGTGTTCGTTTTTTCTTTTCTAGTCCAATTCAGCGAGTGTTTCTATAGCATCTATTAGTAGGGCACAAGTTCCTGTGTGGAGAAGCAGTTCACAGTCGGCCCCCAAAAGCTTACATTCTTTCAGGAGAAACAAGACTTTTAGGCAACAAAGCGAGATCTTGCAAGCCCCAGGGCTAACACATGAGGTGAACATATTTGCTACTTGAGTTGAAATAGGAGAGGGAACAGTTTGGAATGGAGTGGAGTTTGAGCTTCACCTTATAGGGCTAGTAAAACCTGGACCGGAAGGAGGAAAGAGGAGAGGATTTGAGGCAACAGGAAGTAGTGGGAAGAGAAGACAGCATACATAGGAGCATGAAGGGAGTGACAGACAAGGTCTGTATTAAAACCATCAGGAAGTCATTTTTCAGGGATCTGTGCGATTCGCGGAGAGAAGGCTGCTTGGTGGCTGCAACCAGAATTGGGGCTCTCTGAATGCCAACCACCAGATTTGGGTTGATACATTAGACAATGCCAGTCATCATAGGTTCTTTTTGTTATTACGACAATAAATTCTTCAGCAAGGCACAAATATAATGAAGGCGGAAGTGTGATGTGCCTGGCAGCAGTGTGCAAAATTACTGAAAGGCAATATGCATTTAAATTAAACACGCAGAGGGGAGGGTGTGTGCCACCCACACATGGGCACATTCAAATGCTTGATAAATGGAGGAACAGGCCCCTAAGACCTCTTGAAATGGTTGGTGTATGATTTAATAAGAGTCCAGAAAGCAGTAAGGAAAAATAACAATCTAAAAACCCTTCTGCAGGAAGATTTGTTAGTATTTACTAATTCAGTAGATTTAGGGGTGAAGAAGAGGAAAATATCAAAGTGGGACCCAGGGTTTTGGAGACTGAAGAAAAAAGAAGTGGTATGGTTAATGAAAATGGAAGAGTTTCTACAGGAGATGGGTGGGAGGCGGGGAGGGCAGAAATGCGCCACAGGGAGGAGAAATGATCATTTCTGTTTTGTATATGCTGAATTTCAAGTGATAGCAAAGGAACCAAATGGGGATGTTCCAGAGGCAGCTGGAAGTGAGTGATTAGAGGGCTTGATTTATATACTTGGTAGTCAACAAAATGCCTGGACCCCTGACCACAATTTATCAAATGATACAAATGCAGCACTGTTGCAATACGGATTGAATTTTGCACTTCCAGCTTGGGTAAAGCATTGCAGGGGGAAAAAAAATCAATCAATACTTTAAATCTGGATTTCCTTTCTTTGGTGATATGCATTTAGTATTAATTTTGTCTTTTTTTTTTTGTCTCAACATCGAGACTAATTCATGATGGAAAAAAAGAAGAACCTGACGATGGCTACACGCTTTTCATCCAATCTTAGGGCACTAACCCCCAAAATACAACTGTCAGGGATTCTGCCTCAAAACTTTTACTCTGCCCCACCCCACCTCCCAAATCCAAATCCGAGAAACAAAACAGAAACAAGCACCTCACTAAGCACCTCTCAGCATTAAGTTAAATATTTTTAGATGATGAGTGGCTGCAATCTCTTGTGTGAGGAATTAACACTCAGTCCATTAAGTACATAAATTAGGTTTTTGGAACTCGGGATTTATTTCACCCGATAATTAAATGCATTGTCTTCCCTAAAACATTTAATTCTGATAATGGATGAAGCTTATGTATAATGGATGTGATATAATGGTATTTGATTATTCCTGCTTGGCTGTAATCGACTTGATTAATCTATTTATTCTCTTTGTTACATACCAGAGAATTGATGACCTGTTTGCAAATCTTCCCCAGCACGTAAGGGGTTTATATCTGCTTAGCAGGTAATTTCGAACTGCCCTTGAGTTAGAATGGTGAATGCTTTTCTGAACCTCTAAGCAACAGGCTTCCAGTTACCTTCAAGAGCGCCCCAGTCAATGTCCTGGTTCTCTGGTTTGTGCAGGGCAGGATATCTGTTAAAAAGGTTGGCAATGAAAGCCAAGTTCAACTTGGGGTTCCCTCGGACAACATCGGTGGCCGTGACAAACTGCCGGCACCCCAGCCTCTCTGCCTGCTGCAACATGCATTCTGCCCTCTGGATGTCATCCTTCTCCTGTAAGGAAGAAGGGCATGTCAAGGTTGGGTCAAGGCTGTCCACGCAGAAAGGAGGCAGGGGTAACATGAACAAGAAATGGGAATCTTACTGACACCCTCAGTGTTTAACCCAGATTGACACTTAATCACAGCATACGATTACTTATGTTTGCCTGAACTGAAGTCAGCAAGGAAAAGGTATCTCAGAAATTGAGAAATTGAGTCTCTCGTCTCTATATAGAACCATGTCAGATGAATGCTTGGTTGTCCTGTCCTTCAAGAGATTCGGTAGATTCTATAAGCTTATTTAAGTTGATCTTAATTATCTTCAGTGATGAAGTTTCCTTTTCATTATTTGCTTATACAGACTCTGTGAGATTTCGTCTACCAAAAGTGTGCATTTATTGTCATAAATAATACTCCTATTGTCAGTTCATCGAAGACATTTACGCCTGTCAGTAAGAACTTCTGATTCATATAGCCACCTTTCCCACATGGAGCTGGTGTGCGTGCGACTCAAACACAATAAATGTGATCAGTTAGTCGAGCTATATATTGTCATTGATGAATATACAGCAGCAATTTGGCTTTTGCAGACTTCAGATTGAGGGCTTGATATGTTAAAAGCCTATTCAAATAGTTCTAGAGAATCTCCAGTCATTTGTAAGTAGACTCTTATGAGAACATAAAGTTTTGTTGAAATGTGGTCCACCATTCTTAAAACTCTTAAGAGTTTATGAAACCACCAATTTTCAGAAACAGAATTTTAAATTGTTTATTAACATAATGCTTTATTAGATGACACTGCACATTACACATTTCATGAACTTGTCGTTCGGGAATGAGTTGACTTTAATATTAACTCATTGGATTTAATTCTAATGATATCAAATGAGGCCCAAGAATAAATGAGGCAACCTCTCAAGGTGAGTATTAAAGTGGTGGCAAAACCAGTTTTATCATTCAGACCCATGCTGTGCTGTTTTTAAGAGCTCTCAAACCAGACACCTCTAAGAACTCACACAATTCCACCCAGTCCTTTTCTCCGATTACCTCTCCAGTGATGTAGTGAAGTAGGAGTGTGGCTGGGTGAATGCTGGAGCCGTCCTGGGTTTAAATTCCTTCTGTGTCAGGTACTGGCTCTGTGGCCATGAGACGGTTACTAGCCTCTCTGACCTTCAGCTTTCTCAACTAGCAAATAGTTATTAACACTCCGCGTAGTGATATTTGCGAGGGTTAGAGGCCATGTATGCAATGTGCCGAACATGGTACCTGGCACCTAGTACCAACAGATGGGCGTGTTGTCTCCTTCTTACTACCAGAGGAAAAGGACCCCAGCCTTGGATCAAATAACTTCCAATAATCTGGATCATATTAATTAATCCATCTGAGACTCAGTTTTTTCACTGATAAAGTGAGAATTTATTTATTTGCATAAATATCCCACTCATTTCCAGAAATAATACTCAGGCACCTAAAAATAAACATAATAATACCTCTTGGTGTCCCTGAGTCTCTTAAATGATGAGACATACAGACATGCCTAGCACGGTGTGTGGCATTTGAGTGGTATTAGTTTCTTTCCTTCCTTACTGTCTATTTTCAGATGCAATTTCCCACAATTACCATGCAAAGCCATTAACGGTTGTTAACAGTTTTAACAGGGCTTTAAGCAGACGCATGCACTCATGGAACCCCAGAGTCAAGGTCACGCAGGGCCAATGGACTGCCAATACAAAGGCAGCATCACGTTCTCTAAACACAGCTTGGGACATGGCCTTACCCTTAGTCCTGACATGTCAATAACAACAGCAGGAATACCCTCTTCATCTCCTTTTGGAGCCACCTGTTCAAGCAGGTGGTAATAAGCTTTTGAGTCCTGTGAGAAATTAAGAAATTAAAATTTCAAAACAGCACAGCTAATCACATACTTAGCACGACAATAATTTCTCAAAGCAAACATTTTATATTTCTTATTTGACTGTCATTGAAGAATGCAACTTAATTAACAAAGCTGGAAGCATTCACTAATTTGAATTTTCTATCTCTCGTTTACATAGCATTATCGGACCTTCTCTTTTAAGGGAGTATAACAAACATAGGATACATACAAAAGGCAACCCAAAGAAGCAAATGCTATTTTGTTGTTCTTAGGGGAGGAAAATAATTCATTTGTAGGTATTAAATTGTATACAGGAAAATATATATACCTTTATATTGCTGCAGAAGTCAGTCAGCTAAGGTTTAATTAAAAAAAAAAAAGTGACAGAAAAAGGAAGTAGAAGTTTAATGGACAGTCAGCAAAAGAAAAATAGGGACTTCAAAGACAGAAGGTTGAAGCGTTAACAAGCAATCTTTATGTAAAAGGAGATATTAAGATGACAAGCACATTTAATGTTTATCAAGAAGTTGGGAAAAAATGGTTAAATTTAGTGATAGCAGCTTGGATACAGATATTGAATTCTCATGTTTTCCTAGATTTACAAATATGCTTATTGATGAAAAGAATTCATAGAATCCTAGTCTTAAAATTATAAATTTACGCTCATTCAATAAAAGCATACAGATAACCAGATAATTTATTTAAATAATTTAAAAGCATCTTAATTTCTCTTAAAGACTGAAAAATCAGCTGTTCTCTTTTTGTTTTTAAAACTAGATGGGGCCTGGGGACAGCAGAGGTAGGCTCCCCACTTGTGACATTAGAGACGTTAAAACCAGAGAAAGCCCCGCCACTGGCGCTGCACCTGGGGAAACCTCTTTTCATCTCTCCCTTCCACCCCTCCCCTTCTCTTACTTTTCGATGTAGCTATTTTGAAGTCAGTGAAAGTTGCGTGCAGGTGTCGGGCACAAATCAAATCTGCCTACCACGTGTTACATCTGCTTAGCTTTGCCAAGTCTCCTCTCATTTTATCTGGCCCTAATAAACCCTTCTCACTTGCTCCAGGGTGGGTGTTCCCCCCACGTTTGCTGACCTTGTGTGATTTAAGGGCACCTCCCAAAGCTGCCAGATACTCAGACATACGTCACAGCGCTGACCTTGGGCAGGGTGCAGCTGCCTGCCCCCTGGTGACAGGCACCACCCAGGTCTATGCTCAGCTTGCCAGCTCCTATGGTTATTATTCTAAAGAACACAGCTCTTTAGTGATGAGAAATCAGATAAATTTACGGCTCAGACGAAGCAGCCCAATTTTGGCTGAAAAGCTTGAAAATATTGGCTGAAACAGGTGCAGAGCTTAACTGTTGAGCACCAAGGAAGATAACGCTGCTATCCAGCTCCTGTTAAATCCCCACTTGGTTGGTGGTGCCAGGTCATCAATAACCAGTGAAAGTGGTGTAGTTAGAAAAATGCATGTGGCATTATTAACTTAGGTGCTAAGGAATGGGGGACTTTCCATCTAGAAGCTTCCATCTAACCAGCACCACGCCTGGCAGCCCTTGCATCCATGGCAGGGGGAAGCTGTCACTCAAAGGAATACAAGCCTGGGTGACTCTTAGTGAGTCTTGTGACCTTTCCTCTGACTCTTTCTCTTTGGAGAAGATTTCTTTTTAACTTTTGAGAAAGTGGAGACTGAAAAGGTTTTCTCATGCTGCATCCCAGCACCTCACACCGCTCCTTAAGCTCCTTCTGTCTTGGCCCAGCTGTCCTTAGTGCCAACAGCTGTCTTTCACCCTGACATGGAACTTTTCACCAACTGGAAAACCACAGGGCATGCTTCCCTCAGCCTTTCCCCCTTTGGATCTCTGCTGTAGGACTGCCTGCCCTTCTACCTGCCCTGGGGGGCATTCTCATTGCAGATGGTTTCCAGAATCATTATCTTTTAAAAACCACTCTGGTTTCTACAAATGAATACCTTTCAAGAAATTCACCGGTTGTTTTACAGAGGCAGTATGTACAGTGCTCAAGGACGGGGATGTTGGAGGCTGACTGCTGGGTTTGAATTCTGACCCCGTTCCCCAGCTCTGTGAACCTGAACAAATTACTTAAATTCTCTTCTACTTAGTTTCCTTATCTGTAAAATGAGAAAGTAATAAACTTTACCTCAAAGGTTTATCGTGAGGATTAAATGAGCCAATACACATAGAAAGCAGGTAGAACAGTGCCTGGTATGCAGTAGACACCGTGTTTGGTGTTCTTAGTGTTCTCAGAAGAGGAATCCTCATTGAATTTTTTTAAAGGATTCCATCTGATGCTCCCATCAGATGCTCCCCGATTTTTGATAAAATCAGAAGGACATCACTAGTCCTACACATACTCTTCCTTGAAAAGCAGTCTGACCTCTTGCCCTTCCTCCTTCTACTTGCTAACGCTGTCACTCCAGGGGAGGCCCCTCTCCCTTTGATGCTGTGGCCTCGCTAGGACTTTGGACAGATCTGCACGGGGGCCCTTGAGAGGAGCGGGCAGCTCCCACGGCACCAGCCGCAACCCCCCCCCCCCGCCCCCAACGAACTCTGTAGAGCCTCTGAAGTGATGGAGCCGAGTCTGTCTTTTCTCCACAAATGCCCCAATTCCCCTCTCTGCTGCAGTTCGTCCTGTTCAGAGCACACTCCTCCTACCTTGATGTCAGTACTGAAGTTGCTGAGCCTGTTGCAGCCTGCATTCTCCAGGTGGTAGTTAGCCCACCTCAGCAGGAGCTCCTCAGGGGAGAGTTTCATCAAGTCCTCCAGACTCTCCCCTTCTCTCAAAAGAGCAATCAGAGCTGAAGAAGGACAAAAGCCGAAGAAAAATAAATACAGGGGATATCTGAAGGGATCAGTTAGAACTTCAGTTGAGCTCTGTTAGAAAGCTGACAGAGAAGCCCCTCCCATGGAATAAACACTTTATTATCACTCCCTAAAAAGGAAGGCAAGGTTTTGAGAGCTTATCTATTATCCTCATTTTTCAGGTGGGGAAGACATGTCACCAGTGAATCTCAGCACTATGCCTAAGAAGACCATGGCCATGGCACCCAAGACTATCAGGCTCAGAAGGCTCCAGTGGGTCTGTCAGACCACATTTCACAATAGGACAACAGTTCTGCTTTCAAGAGATCAATTTTGTAATAATGACAATTGTCTTCTTGTCTGCTCCCAGAGGTGTTTTATATTTCAAATGCTTACTTGCATAATTACAGCATCTCGAAAACTGTAATCAACTCTCCTCTATTTTTCCCAGCTGAATAAGTATGTTTTGCTCAGCTAGAAGGTTTAAATTTAGTTGCGGTCATAATTTGTAAATCAATATTTTTCTCACGGGTTCTAAGTTTCCTGTTTGCTTTTTCTCCTCTATATTATGTTTAATATATATTTGGTTTAAAAATGGCAACCCAGGGTTCTTCTCTGGTTATTGTGATTTGGAGATATGAATTAAAAAGTATGTATAACTAAAGACTAGAATTTGGCTACAGATTTCACAGGGCTCTGTCCTGGAAAGCTAAAAGGTAATCCTGTTTTTTTTTATGATTCTTACCACAATCTACTTCTTTTATCTAAACAACAGGGCTGTACTTGTTTAAATGCAGATAGGATGGGGAGAGCAGACAGAGTAAGATTGACAGCTACAATATTTAGTTGCGAACTTTGAAACCCTACCTGTAATCTTCCATAGTCTTGGTAAGAAACAGATCAATTTTCTCCTAATCTGGTGCTATCACTTCGGTATATGAATGTGAACCACTTCATCAAATACAAGTTAAAAAGGAGTCTATTTGTTACAAAGTATCTAGAGGCAAAGTGAACCCAGAAAAGCCCTTGAGGTTGGATCCCAGACAGCCAGGACTGAGCTCTAGGTTCTAAGTAAGCGTTATGATTAGTCTGTGGTCTTAAAAAGCTTTTGCTCTGTCATTTTAAAGAGTCTGGTCAGTGTGGATAGAAACCATTTAATGCAATGGATTCGATGTAATTATAGTTTTCAAAAATTGAGGATTCTGAGCTTGACTATTCTGACATCTTCCCCTTACAGCCCCCAACACATGCGTTAATAAAAAGCCAGGCCACTAATAACAACTTGCGGTTTTGCTCATACCTTCATTTCTACTGAGTTCGATGTCAGCAAACAATCCAATCTTGATGACTTGCCACAAAAGTCCCAGGACCAGATAAGGCTTCCCCTCCTTTAAGTCCTCAGCCCCAATGTTAACCACATGGCACCCAATGGCTGAGGCAGAATTCAGAGCCAGGTTCAAATTCTCCTGAGGTAGAAAAAGTGTACAAATGTTGTTTTTAACTTTGCAGATGTCAAACAATGATTCCTGGATGACAACAATGCTTTGCTTCTGGAAAGTTCACAGGTCTAGAGGCATGGTCTTCACTAAATTTTAACACTGAAAGCAGTGCCTAACAACTGAAAGAAAAAAACCTGGTCACCCAGATACGGGGCTTATGCCTGTTCACTCAAACTGGCACCTTGAGTCTATAGTCCATCCTGGCCCGGATCAAACTATTGAGTCTTACAGTTTTACACTTTGCCCTGTGATGGAGCCTACACACTCAACATCCCCACTGGCCAGACATAAAGGGGTACCTTTGAGAGGGTAGTCATTGTCTTGCCATTGGCGATCATTAACAGCGCAATTGTTGATATAAATCAAGGTCATAAAAAAAGAGTAACAAAATAGCTTTTTGACTTTCAGATTGGGTATTAAGAGAATGAAAAATACACAAATCAAATTCCTAGAAAAGGTAAGAGTGGTTTTTACTGAGACAATTTATTGAGTTTCCAGAATATCTAGGGGCCTTAAGTATATACACACCTACACACACATACACACACGCACACACGTACATGTTCTTATCACTAATAACAATGTATATAATGTGTATACAACTCATACACAGTTGGAATAGAATCAATGCCATTTTCAGTCTAGAATCGACAAACTGTTCTTGGGTCCACAAAGGAGAAGATACTAGAGGTAGTGATGTACAGAAGTTGTTTTTATGACAAATTAAAAACAAAACACAGGCCCCCAGTGAATTGGAAAGAGGACTATCAGACAACTGGGTTTTTGCCCGAGTGTAGAGCTCAAATGATGAAAGAAAAATATCATTTCTATTTATGGCCAATATTAAAATTCAACATCAAGATTAAATTTACCATTAAGTGCATTCGTATAGGTTTAATCACTGTTCTCACGTTAGTTACCGCTTCTGTTTTAAAAGTACACGGCACTGCTTACAATCAAACAGCATTAACATATTGTTCATGACTTAAGGAGTGAGACATGCTTTCTGAGCAAGAGAATTACAATAGTGTTGAAACACTGGAACATAACAGAGAAATACAGCTTACTTACTACTGGTTACTGTTCCCGTTAATCAACAAATTGAAGGCTTAAGACCAAGTTATATTTATCACACTGGTAGCTGTAGCCAATACCACTGTTAGGCTGCCGGGGGACTTCCCCTTTGTTGCCCCCTCACTTCTTAGAAAGGCTTATCTTTTCGGCTAACATGCTGTGGATTTGGCATCAGGTCAAAGATAAACTGCTAGGGAAAGTGGAGTTAAAACTTTAGCCCATGTGAATTTTATTCCTAAGGGGCCAAAACAGACTAAGAATGCCCCCCAACTACCAACACCCCACCAGCATTCCCCCTCCCACGTTCCCTGTTATATTATTAAAGATAAAACAAAACTGTCTCCCTCTGTCCCCACGAGTCGTGGCGAACCACCGGCCGCAGAGCCGGGTTTGGGAATAGCGCCCAAGCACCTGGAAAAGGCTGGCTCTGCATTTCCAGGGCTCATTCATTCCAAGCACAATCTTATAGTTTGGCAACAGAGAGAAGACATACCTGAATGGTGAAGGGGGTGAGTTTCTTTTTGTTGATGGTCCTTTCATCAATTGTATCTGGCACTGATAGGTTGATCATTTTACTGAAAAAAGAAACAATTACATTAAAGAAAGCTGGCTTCTGAATAACAGAGTCCAGTGACACGGAATTTAAATTCTAGCAATACCACCAGCAAAGACAACAGCGATATAATCTGTGTGATCCAGTGTTTAGATATAGAATCAGTCATGCAATTTTGATTAGATTCAAACTCTCTACGGGAAAGGTTAATGTTCCTGAAATCATACTAATATACTGAGGCAGGAAATAAAGACCCCACTTTATTCATGTACCTAAGAAGCTGCAAAATCATCCTGCTGTCCTCAGCATATTAGGAAATTCTAGAATTCTGGGTAGAAAGCCAAGGCAAATCCTCCATAAGTACTTTACTTTCTCAGCTGTGAAAAGTGTATATAAATGACTATATATACACTATGTGACCACCTGTACACTTCTGAGCTTATATGTCTAAATTTCTGACACTTGGTAGAACTCTATACTTTTAACTAAGTGCATGATAAAATGTTTTATATCCTGCTGTAGTCACTGTTGTATCAGTACTTGAGAAATTTCACCCACTTCAGTGTCTCTAATACACTGATCAGATATCTAAGGTAAGCAATTATTATTTGTGAAAAAACTGCTTTTATTCATTTAGCATTGGTTTAACCTCCAATGGGGCACAGAAAATAAACCTCCTTAGGTCACCTCCATCTCATTTAAAGAAAGGAAGTTGAAAAAGCAAATCCAAAGAAACAACAACGAATTCAAAGAATAGTAAACTTGACTGTGGCTATTTGTTTTTAATGAGAAATCAGCATTAACATTTTTTCCTAACAATTTTTAAGGAACTACCTTTTCTGTGGTGTTCTCTAAAGATGTATTTCTATAACTTTGTCGTGTGTGTATGTGTGTGTGTGTACGTGTGTGTGTGTGTGTGTGTATGTGTAACATATATTTAAATGAAAGGCACTTTATTGCAATTCAGGCAAAACAAACTCTTAAGTCATTATTTGAAAAATCTGAAACTGTTGGTGAACTAGAAGCTGTGGGAGATGGTAGGAGGGAGGGGTGACTAAAAAGCAGAAGGTAACCTTGCTCTTGAAAAGCTTATGGTGCAATTATAGAGACAAAATATATGGACGTGAAAAGTTACCTAGTGGTCCAAAAGAAGAGCGTTATAATGGCTCCCAAAGTACTACAAATATGTGCTTTGAGAATCCAGGGAAGGGAGAGACTCCTGGGGGATTGGAATAGACCAGAAACTGTTAGGGTAAATGGATTTCTATAGGAGGAGAGGATGTGAAAGAGTATTCTTAAAAAGAAAAATAGAAGGCAAAGCCACAGTTGCAATTATGAGCAGGACGTGTGTGGGGAAGGATGAGGATGGCCGCTGATGCATTCAGTTATTCATGCAGCCATTCACTCAGTGGCCTGGGCTGGGTACCGGAGTCACGGGGGTCCTGGGAGGTACAACTAGAAGGAGACTGAGGGAAGATGACCGAGCGCGTTGGGTGCCAACCTAAGGAGCTAGGACTTGATCCCGAGGCTAAATTTTTTATGTCTTTTTTCTTTTTTCCAGCTGACGGTTTTTGAAATGAAATCTCAAGGTGAACTCTAATAAATAAAATACCAAAAGCAGAACTGTTCTGCTCAGAGCAGGGAAGAAGGGGTTCTAAGTCTTACCTACCCATCCTTCCCTCCAACTCGTGTGCTCACCTGACAGTGAGCATTTCAAGCCTCTTCACTAACACCATGCCTGACAGTGGTCTCAGAAGCTGCTAAAAGCAAGAGCTACAGAAGCCATTTCAAAGACACCATCATGACCACTGTGTGTCGAGGTCTTCCGCAGACCAAAAGTCTTCCTCTTTTTCCAGGTGTCCCCAGCATCTGAAGTGCACATTTGTATGTATCACTCAAAAGGCCCTTTGCTGAAGGACTTGCATTGGGTTTCTTCAATTATCATGCTGCTATTATCAATCTATCTATCTTCACGGTAGGTCATGTTCAGATGAAGCCAAGTGGCATATATTCCAAAAAGAATTGCTTTGGGCCTTGTATTATTGCACCTTTATCTGTATTTATTCGTCTCTATGCTGCACATCCCCCTCCTCCAACCAAGCAATAACAGTTTTACGTTTCTCATTAGAAGTTGCTTTTGAAATTAGTTTGCTTCCCAAGGACCTGCCAAGGAAAAGTCCAGAAAGCAGTTCGGGTCCAGCCGAGCACCAAAGGAAGTTGACCTGGGATAAACACAATGAATTGTTGGTATTCCTGAAAATCCCAGGAAAACCTCTGGAAACCAAGAAGGAAGTATTATTTACCAAAGGACAATGCCATCCCCAACGGCACTGAAGAGATCATTTGTGTTTGGATTCATTGGGATAACATGTCGACAGTCGGGGTCATTCTCCAGGGCTTTGTTTATCCAGTTGACAAAGGCATACTTCTCTTCCTCTGCAAGAAAATGATAAAAATGACTTACTTGCAAAGTAAAAATCTGACATAAACAAAATTATACACATGGATCTCAGACTGTCATGCCTAGGAGAGACATTGAGATATTATCTGGTCCCTTATCCTATCATCTCACATTTTTTGACATCAAAAAAAAAACCTCAGATGACTTCGGGAATAGGCACAGAATCTCTGTTCACTCCAAGTCATAAAACATACGGCAGGCAGATTTAGAAATTATATATATAATATGTAACTATCATATATAACTATATATAGATATAAATAATGAAGATACATTTTATTAATATTTAGAAACAATGTAAATATGAATGTGATCTCATGCTTATAGATAAAACTCAGGCTACCTTTAGCCCAGCCAATTTAAATGTGAGATGATCACAGATAATCCCTGTAATATCTTTGAGCTTCTTTATACAATCATAATGAAATTGCTATGAAATAAAATCTTTTGTGATATAATCTTTCTTGCCTATCAGTAAAGCTGCCAGAAGTTGATTTTGGAAGTTTTAATAAAACCTCAAGTTATGCCCTACAGCCCAGCACAGTGTTTCCCAAATTGTGTGTCACTGAAAACAGTAGGGTCCCTCAGAAGAATCCTGAGTCACGCAAGTTTGAGAAGCACTGCAGAAGCCCATCACTGTCTTGAAGATTCATCAGGCATATTTATATAATTTCGGTCTTTACTTTAAAAGTAAAACATTAAACATTGTCTCCACAATCAAAGACCGTACTTAATCATGAATTTACCTTTAAGATCAGTTAATGTTTTGAAGAACTCACCTTGGGGATTGTTGGATTACCGTCCTGTTTGAACTTTTAGTTTCCGTTAAGGCTGTTGGATGCCAGCCTTCAGAAGAAATATACAACTTCTTTCCAAATTAGTGAAAACACAATTTTTTTTTTTTTGACCAATCAGCAGGCACTGAGAATTATTACGAAGTTTAGAGGAGACAGAAGCCTGAGTAGTTCATCTTATCCGTAAGATTTACAAAGGAGTTCTGGCAGCCTTGGTGTATTTTTTAAATGCTATTGAGATGATTTGGTATTGGATTCTACCTAGGATTAGGATTGCTCCTCCTACTTTATGTCCTTGGAACTGACCCACCAACCACAGGACAACAGGCAGTAGTCAATAAACTTGTGCTGGCTTCTTTGTTTGTACCCCTTAGGTTTGAATACCAGGTTTAGACTCTGTAACGCCGGGAAGGCACAGATCCTTTCCATATGGCTCCCTTTCCCACTACCCCGCCAGTCTCCCCTCATGCCGGCCCCCACCCCACTTCCACCACGCACCCACTGGGACATCCTACCTGAATAGGAGTGCTGGGTGCCGACACTAGACTGCTCCGAAGTACCACCAATTGCACAGATCCCTTCCTTCTTGTTGATTGCCTTTCTAAAGGTCTTGGCAACCTCTGTGCTTTTTAGGCCATGAAAAACCTGCCAAAATGTAATGTACCTTTAGAAACCCAATCTGTGATCAAGAAAACCACAAAGGGAAGAATATGTAATGTTGAAGCAAGGAGGGTGGGGATGTATTTCTGGATTTTTCAAATTAAAGCCCCAGGTTTCAAATGCATCTCCTTGTATTCTGCATCATACTCACCTTGATAAACTCATCAAAGCTGATCCTCCCATCCTGGTCTAGATCGCCTGTAGCCATCAGGTTTTCTGTGATTTCTCTCACTCTGTACCCAGGCAGAGGCAAGCAAGCAGCCTTGAACAAGTCATTCAACTCATTGCAGCTGATGTACCCATTGCCGTCGGTATCTGCAAAGCAAGCGGCCACCTGAAGTCTCAGGGCAATTCGGATAATAGGATGAAGAGGTGAGGGAAGGCGAGTGTGCTGGAGAGGCAATCATTTAGAGGCCACAGCCTGACCCCATGCAAGAGCCAGAGTCTCACGAGGGGCCTGTTTCTATGAGAGATGGACATTAGTGTCACTTCCAACATCCATGAGTCATCATGTCACAACAGAGGTTCTGGGAGCAGAATCTGAAGAGACTTATAGGAACAGATGGGAAAATAAATCACAAGCTTAGAGATATAAAGAAAAACTACAGAACTGTAGAAAAACAAAGGAAACCAAAGAAAACAGACAAGATAAAAATAGGGAGAAAAGCTGCAGGTGTGAAAGGGTTCATTCCATGTTTTGATAGAGAAAGAAGTAATTTTCCCAAAGTGAACCTTTCAAAATTAAGTTCCCCCCGGCTCCTCTGGCCAATACCACTGTATTCCTTTCACTTGTACCATTTTGCTTATATTACCATTTCATCCAATCTGTCCTGAAGGTACTCAGTAAAGAGGAGAATTATGTGACTTGAGCTGCCCGGTCTACTCACCAACTTTGGCAAAAGCTTCTCTGAGCTCCATCATTTCTTCATCGGACACTGATCCTCTGGCCATTTTTATTGCTTTAGGCAACAGATCTGCAGAAGGAAAAGAACAGAAGGAATGACTTCTGTGCATCTTAATTCTTAAAGTACCACATTAAGCAGCAATCTCCATTTATTAAATGAGGAAATAACCCTCTGCATCCCTCATGATTTATAACTGTCTTTCCAATATGTAAGAAATTGCCTTATGCTTAACCCTCCATGTGGTGGTCTCCAACTGGCTCTCACCACTTTCTCCTCTCGCTGTGTATACAGACTGCTCCTCACGTCAGGAGGTGGAGCTGATTGCTCTCCCCCTTGAATCTGGGCTGATCCTGCACCTGCTTTGACCACTGAGAAGGCAGAAGAAGCCGTGTCTGGGACTGGAACCTTCTGGCTCCTTCCTTTTGGAATGCCTGTTCTTAGGATGTTCCCTCTTGGAAACCAAGTGCCATGCTGTGAGACGTCCAAGCCACATGAAGCCAATGACTGGGCACTTTGGTTAACAGTCCCTGCTGGGCTCCCAGCTGACAGCCAGCATTGACTGCCATGCACTGCAGTAGGGCCATTGGAAATGTTCCCGCTGATTTGAGACCCTGGATGTCTACAGTCCCAGTCAAATCACACAGAGCAGAAAAATCATCCAGCTGTCCCCAGTCAACAGAATCAAGAGACACGATAAAATGATTGTTGCTTTAAATCACCAAGTCTTGGAGTGGTGTGTTACATGGTAATATACAACTATAACACTTAACTTTTACATAAATGTCTTTTTTAGAGATGATGTCATGTTCACATTGAAAATTAGTATGTTTGGCCAAGCCAACATATAATTTTTATAACTTCAAAGGGAGTTTTCAAAGTTCCCTAAATATTTAGAGAAGGAGGAAGGGAACCTGACCCTCTAATAATTCATATATGGGAATCTGAGGGACTTTTGAAGTGTTCTTTTTTCAGAAAGTCTCGTCTTGCTGAGAAACCTAAGGCTAGTGCTGGAGTTAATTGTTCTCCTTTCCCTGTGCTTTATTGCTGCCCTCTAGTGGGTAGAAAGAGAATGAAACAGAAAATATAGTCTCCATGCCTCTAGCTAATTTCACACCAGAGTATTTCAAATTGGAGTTCCACTAAAGCTTGCTGGATTTTCCTGGTGGGGAAGGAATGAGTGAGTGGGGTGGGAGTGTGGATGATGGGATATTTTTACATGGAATTATGATCTGAGCATTTTTGTGAAGTTATTGATTTTTTAAAATATATTTGTTGCAGGATATTGTTTTAAATGAATTTCCTTTTCTGTATATTCACAGCATTCTCTAGTGCTGTGCTTGTTCTCAGTGGCAACCAACAACCACAGAAAAACAACAGTTTTAACACTTCCACCCATAGGCCAAAAATGCCTTATGCTCAATTCTGCAAAGCCACATCTATTATCCACCAACTGACTATTTTGTCATGTACATAGAGCAGTGGCTTCAAACTTTTGTTTCCCCCCAGATCCTTTGTTACCAGAGAAGCTTTACGTGTAGACAAAGGCAAACAAGTAAAAAGAACAACTCTGAGAGGCTGTGGTTGAAAAATCCCAAATGTCTCCCTGCAGCCACTAGCCCGCTTCCTGTCACCTTATGTACCTGGAGGAACTCAAGAGAGCATGATTTGAAAGTCACAGAACTAGATATTGTTGCTATTTCAATTCCTACAAATGTTTTATTATCCATAAAAATTTTATTATTTACCTTATGTATCTAAAAAGTTTCACTGGGTTCTCTGAAGGAAGGTAAAACTGTGTAGAACTTAACCATACAAGCAAACATGAGTTACACAGCACAGTGACCCTTGGGGACAGGCAATGGCTAGCCGACTTTCTTGCCATCTTCACTCCCTGTCCTTTCTCTGTCTCCTTCCTCCCTTTTTTCTTTTTTCATCCTTTCCTTCCATCCATCCTTCCTTCCTCCCCACCCCCCACCAAGCCTTGTCCCCAAAACAATTTGAGCCAGGTTACAAAATTACGTCCAAACCTAAGACTTGAACGAACGAAATCATACAATTGTTTTTTGTTTTTTAAATATAACTTTTTAAAAAAGATTTTATTTATTTGAGAGAGTAGGAGAGACAGAGAAAGAGAGAGAGAGAGACAGCATGAGCAGGGGGGAGGGGTAGAGGGAGAAGGAGAAGCAGGTTCCCCGCTGAGCAGGGAGCCCCCGATGCCGGGCTCGATCCCACGACCCTGGGATCATGAACTGAGCCGAAGGCAGATGCTTAACCCACTGAGCCATCCAGGCGCCCCAAAATCATGCAATTGTTAAGGAGAAATAAACATGGGCCAAATAAGATAATGGCAGGGAGGAGCTTTTAATGCCTCCAAATCCAGAGTTAAGACTGCACATTTTGCTAGAAGGAGGCTGAAAATCTAGCTCCAAGTTCTCTAGAAGCTAATGCAAAAAGGAAGATGTCATCAGTTCCATAATTCACTCTATCTATATAAGCCAAAGAAACCAATTTTTTTAGGGCTACAGAACTGAGGTCTGATGGCAATCCCTTCACACAGGCCTCAAGGAGAGGACATTTGTGGGATGCAGTAAACACAAGCTTTGGGTTTATTATAATGTCTCTCAGTGAAATCTGATGGCATAAATATATGTATTCCCATTTTGTAGAACAGGAAACAGAAGCTCAGAGAAGTTAGGACACATATCTCAGATCACACAGCCAGGGAGAAGAGCAGCCAGGATTCCAATTCTCAAATCTTTTCTCTTCACTCATGCTATCTGTTCAGGTTCAATGCCTTTACACTTGTGTTAGATATTCATTTTGTCCACTCATTCACTCACTTAGCAATTATTCATTAGCCGTCTAATATGTATACTCCATGGGAGATTTAAAAAACTGTAGCAGAGAGCCTACCCAGGTGTTCTAGCTTAGGAACATCACGCTTTCACGTGTTAGGAAAGCAAGCCTTCTGGGTTAAGAAATTAGCACATTAGCTTTGCACCCTTTACTAGATCCTTGTGACTAATTTGGCCAGGCTCTCCCTTATGCCTTTACAAATATTCCCTAGACATGAAGAGAAGGCTCTCCTCCATCCTATTTTAGCAAGATCTTTGATAAAATCTGGTCTAAAGCCACTTAACACTTCTTCGTTCATGGATGTTCATGGGATTATGAAATTCATTCATTTACAAATATTTTCTGAATGTCTACCATAAGCCAGGTGCTGCCCCTCATTTCAGGCAAGGGACATCTACATTGACCTAGTTACCCTGAAAGCATGAAGCAATGTTAAAGGTAAGAAGGCATGGGACCTCTGAGCCTAAACTTAGCCCCATCCCTTGACGTAGAGTTTTAGGTTGCAGAGCATGGTTAAGAGACCGGTGAAAAACACAAGTAAGGCAAAAAGATGACATTTTAAGGGTCCAGAGTGGGGCCAAAGAAGAAACGAAAGAGTTATAATATTAGGTGAGAAAGAAAATCTAAAGATCACGGTACAATGAAAAAGTAGAGAAAATGTTTTGGACAGAAATTGCAGGGCCCATTCAAATTAAAGACCTAGAAAGGGGGGTAAAAAAAGCATTATTTTAAAACCACGTGATTTTTAAACCATGGCAAGTAGGTCAAGGTGAAACACATGAGCATCTGGAGAACTGTATTTTTCTAAGAGATTTATGAATGGGGAAGATCAACTTGGAGAAGCCATATAGTCAGACAGTCATCACATTTTAAAAATCCAAAATCCTTCAGTGATTAAAAGCTAAAGGAAAATTTATTTGAAAAGGTGAATTGGATGGGGAGCCTGAGTGGCTCAGTTAGTTAAGCATCCAACTCTTGCTTTCACCTCAGGTCATGACCTCAGGGGTCGTGTGAGATGGAGCCCTGCGTCGAGCCCCATGCACTGGGACTCCACACTTAGTGGGGAGTCTGATTGACCTTCTTTCCCTTCCCCTGCCCTCCCTGCACTCTTAAATACATTCATACATACATACAAACTTTAAAAAGGTGAACTGGAGAAGGAATAGTCAACAGCCCAAGTTACCGTGCCACTGTGTTGTTTCGGGTGCAAGCATGAGTATCTGGAGAGGGTCTCATTTACTATCAGAATGAGCAGTAAGTCCTGGAAACACAAGCCAACTTTTAGAGGCAGAAGGAACTTAAAGAAATAATTGATTACAACTCCTTCATTTTATAGATAAGAAAACCAAAGCTTCCATGAGATGAAATGCTTTGTCTATGTACACATTCTCAAAGCAAGGCTGGAGTTTTAAATGCAGTTGCTGGTGAGCAGAGCAGGGAGAGGATGGAGGTACCCTTAATAGGGCCATTGAGGTCCATAACTGGGAAGAGACCCTTTACCTAATTGAACCGAACACGCAAATGGCAGCATGTTCACAAAACAGAGAAGCAGGAAGAGGAGGGAATTAAAAACATGCAGATCAGACCATTTCTAAGAAGGGTATTGCTGGGGTTAGAATCAACTATTAGGTACTTTACACAGTCTATTAATGTGTTTTCCTGGAAAAAACATACCCACTTCATGCCCATTCGAAGGTACGGGTTATAGTAATGGTAGTCAGACTCATAAGGATAGTAAGTTGGGGTTTCAGTTTGCAAATTACTGGCACCACGTTGGTGGCAGTCTTTAGAGAGCTTGCTGCAGTAATGGGATGTGCTGAGCCATTTGGAGCCTGAAAGAAGTGGCTGGGGAAGGCGTGTTCCTTCCTGGTTCCACTTTACCGCTCCTGCGTTAACTGCGGCCCCCTTTGTGTTTTTTCCAGTTTTACTGAGAAATCATTGACATGGATCACTGTGTAAGTTTAAGGTGTACAGCATGATAGTTTGATTTACGTATGATCAGAAGAGGTGCGGCTAACATCCATCTTCTCCTACAGATACCATAAAAAAAGAAAGAAGAAAAGAATAAAGGGACTTTTTTTTCTTCTTGCGATGACCACTCTTAGGATTTGCTCTCAGCAGTTCTCCTACATACCACACGGCGGGGCCAGCCATGTGCAGCGCATCCCTAGGACCTGTTTATCTTATAATTGGAAGTTTGTACCTTTTGACTG